AAGCAGATGCCGATGCCAGAATGTGACAATTTCGCTAGATGCAATAAGCAAAATGTCACAATCTAAGCAATGGACAATCCGTAGTAAGGACCACAGCCGTCTTGCTCTCTCCACCCGTTCATGATTTTGTGTGCAGGGCATGCGCATTGGGTTCTAATTCCTCGGGAGAGCCAGAAAAGTATCTCCTTTCCGGACAATTCCGTACACAGGGGCCTATAGGCGGCTACCAGTATATAGATAATAAGTATATGGTTGCGCAGCTCTTGACGTTATCATCAGGTAGATTTCTGCTCAATAAAATCGTTGTTTGTTCTTCTCGGCAAAATAAAGCTGAGCTCTGACGTCGACGTCGAAAGTGTACCTCTTTCACACGGACGTTATTTTGCCGATCGGCATTTAAAACGACTGGCAAAACAACAACTAAAATTTTAAATTACACATAGTTAAATAGAGCTTTACGCCCCTTTCACACGGACGGTATTTTACCGGTCGGTAGCCTACCGTTAACCCAGACGACGACGTTTCTGTGTGTAAAGCTCTATTTAACAAGTGTAATTTAAAATTTTAGTCGTATTGCCGATCGTTTTAAATACCGATCCGCAAAATAACGTCCGTATGAAAGAGGCGTTACACACAGAAACGTCGCCGTCAGGTCTGACACAAATTACACATAGTTAAATACATCTTTACACACAGAAACGTCGCCGTCAGGTCTGCCAGTCGGCTACCGACCGGCAAAACAACGTCCGTGTGAAAGAGGCGTTACCGGTCGGTAGCCGACCGTCAGACCTGACGGCGACGTTTCTGTGTGTAAAGATGTATTTAACTATGTGTAATTTAAAATTTTAGTCGTTATTTTGCCGATCGTTTTAAATACCGATCGGCAAAACAACGTCCGTGTGAAAGAGGCGTAAAGCAATTTACTCTGCGGTCTAGATGACAGTATTGAGACCCTAATGCCCTTTATATCTAATAACAACAGTATGCGCTAGTAGAAATCTACAGTACACTGGATTAACCGCAAGGAAACATCAACTCAAATATCACACAAATGACGAATCGTGAGCTTGAATTGTCTATTGGATTGGAATCAAAAATTGATTGAATATATTCGATGTTTTTAGAAGTGTCATATTTCAAAATGGGTTTGTGTTGAAAAAATTCCTCAAGTCGAATGTCGAATTATTTATAAAAAAATATTACTAGAATGATGTCCTTAATTAAACCGCAGTTTTTTCTAATTCCGTAACCATTAATTTTAATTCGTACTACATTTCAAAATTCTCAGTATTTCAATATGAGCCCAACTTTTTTTTTTTGTAAAATTAGCTGTAATGAACATTGTAAAATAATTCTAAACGTAATCAGACTCACTTTGTCAGTAGATTATACCTACTCGTAGAACATCCGTAAATAATTTCGTTTCGCTCCTATTCAAATAAATAATTCATATTTTATTTCCGCTTAACTGGGAAGAATAAAAAAGCAATCTGTTTTTAACTCGATGTTGAAGAAGTGGCCTTGATGAAAAAACATCAAAACAGTGACAATATCCAATTACTCCAGGCAATGTTTATAGAAAACAAAAGCTGAACAAACGTTTTTATAAACGAGTAACAATAAAATAACAGGTTAGTCATCTTTAGTAAACACTGTAAATATAAGGATCTACATCATATCATTCATATCCCAAATAATGATATTAACAATTATTCACTTAATTTTTTCATTTAAGTTATTAGTCATGTAGATTTGGAATTTTGCACCATTATGGAGTATAAAATTACGGGCCAGTTTCATAATTAGTTTAATCCATGCTATGAAAATCAACTGAAACTTGACTTCGAACAAATAGAGCGTATTGATATACACCAAATTTTCTTATGCTATTTTATGTAATAAATATTAGACAAATATATCCAAATAAAACAACTTTATTGAATATAGATCTTAAAAAACTACATACGAAATTATATGTATATACCACAAATAAGTATATTGGATGTCCTATTAAGCTCGATTGTTAAATAGTTATTTTATTATTAATTTAAAAAGTATATATCACCCAATTTGTAACTTAGTTTCTACAAGTATAGAGAAATACTTACGGATTCTTCAAAACTTTCAGTAAATAAGCATTTTTCGCAGAGGGAAACAGGATCTTACCGTGATGATTTGATTGATGACGAATGATTTGTTTGGAATTACACGAATTTAGAAAACCACTTTTTCATCACATTTTACCAAGCTAGAACTGGTAGTAATATCATTGACATATTTAAAATATGATCAAAGTAATAATTAAACTATATAAACTATTAATAAATTAATAAGGCATAGAAGCTTAAAGTATTTAGCAGCCGAAAAACTACTATGAGGATAACGGCATTTTTAAATCAAAAGTTGACAATGTCATTCACATAAGTGGAATCTGAAATCTGTATTTAAAAGTCTCCGTACTGGGCGGATCAATTTTGACACTTTTGGGGGTTTCTCCTATTCCCCAAAAAGATTCTCAGACACGTTCCAACAAAAGCAATCAGAAATCATGAGCGGTAAAATTTTTAAAGGTTATCCTGGAGCATAAATTAATCTGGGTCGAAATCGACAGGCATAAAAAGATTCGGCTTAAGGAAATTAATCCTAAAGCCACAGTGTGGTTTTACATAACTCTGATTAGGCCTACCTTTCGCGTTAGCGCTTAAATCACAATTACAACTGAAGCGATACGCACAGCTCCCACAGAAGCTCTTGTGTCACTTCCAAAGCCACACTTCGTGGTTGAGGGACCGGCAAAGGCTATCAGGACACGGTTAGCTTTAAGGAATTAGTAGAGGGATATAAATCTATGAGCCATCAGCGACAAGATTTCCCCTCTCTACATCATTCACAGATATTTCAAATATAAAAGCTTGACCTGATGTTCAAGTCTTGAATGGACTCGTCTCGTTAACTGATGGGTACAGGACAGTCGAGAGTTCAGGAGCAGTCATCTAAAATGCGACCCCAGAGGTGAATTTGTTTTATCCACGGGGGAAGTTTGCCACCGCCTTCCAAGCTGAGGTATTAGCTATCTCAAAAAAAGATACAGAAATCAGCGTATTCAAATATCTCTGGAATACCTACCTCACACTCCCGAAATGTGTCAACGTCTTGTCCCTGCTGGGGCGGGAAAATCGTCTACATAAAGAAAAGTAATGTTACTGGCAATGAAAGAGCGGACGGGTCGTTTAGAGAAGTAGGTAATCAATTCATGGGGCCTAAATAATCAATTCATACATACAGTATTATACAATGTTATGTAAAAGGATTCATTGATAAAGTCAAAGATTGATCATTGGAAGAATGGTTGAGTGGATTTAGTTTGCGACAGTCCAGGCTTATACCAATTAGCATGCCCAAACTGAAGCAGTATTGGGGTTGTCATAGGACTTCTAACGGGTTATTTAAATCAGCACCTCAACAGAATTGGTATCAGTGCTGGCACATGATACAGGTGATGCAAGCACATGTCTGTCACCGTGCTTGCTTAATGAGGCAAAGACAAATACCTCAGAGTAGCAAATCTGTCACCTGAGAATGTCAAAGATACTCCAGCAGAGCGTGCTGTTATAAGTAGTACAAGCCTATTTTCATTTTCTTTAGTAGCATGTATAATGGTCGGTAGACTGCGGATAACTGTGTATTCCTCGACAACAGCAACAAAATTATCCTAAGAATGTTTTGTCGCGGAACGACTTGATTGACTGCCGCCATCGGTTGAGTTACCGCGGTATCTACGCTCGATAACGCATTTAAGGTTGCCGCGTTACTTCTCGTGACTTTTTGGGGCACAGGCAGTAGCTTCTTAGACTCTTCATTTAGCATATGGATGGGGGTCGATATCACGACACGATCTGAGTCCAGCTGAGACTTTCGTTTGTCTTCCATCGCTAAGTTCAACTGCTTCAGAAAGGTTTCATACTATCTAATTTTTTTTATCCAAGTCACCAAGACAAGCACTATGGGTTTCAACTGACCCTAGAGTTGAAAATGTTTTAACTTACCCTGTGTATCACTGAGTTCTACGACTCTCAAATGTCTCTAAATGTGGATAGCATTAGTTTTTTTCTATTAGTCTAAGGTCCCTGGTAAGGACCTGCAAACTTTTGTTCGGGCATTACGTCTCATCATTCCTCGGGATCTTCGTTCTCGGAATGGTTACCTTGACGGAATCTCTACGTCCTAGGAGTGGTTACCCCAACAATATTTCAACGTCATAGGATGGATAAGTTCGCAACATCGGTCGCTACGACGAAATCTTCAAAAGTGGTGGAATGTCAGGAAAATGGTTTCCTTCGGTTTTCTAGTCCCGATTTGAAAGATAGGTGAAATCCGGTCGGAATTGAAAACACGACAGTTTCCTATTTTCGTATATCGTTTCAAGTGCAAATAAACTAAGATATTTTTCAGTACTGACAGTTATTGTTTACTAAGTTATACCTTTTCACTAATTTAACCGTGTCTGACGGATTCCAATGCAAAATATTGTATTAAACATTTCAGGTACGCCCGTTTTTCAAGCCTCATCAAAGAAAAACTGATAATTATTTATAATTATAATATAGGCTGTGTTCAGCGAACAGTCGTACCGGTCAAAGTCTTTCAGCGGACAAATATTTCGTTGGTCTGCCCAATCAGCTGATTGGGCCGACCAGGTTTTAGTACAGTTACTAAAAGCCGTTCACGAATTGTTTAATTAAAGAAGTTTCACGGAACTAGTCCGGCCATTGGACCATTCGCTGAACACAGCCGTAATAACCATATTTTCGATTTTATGATACGTTATATGTTATGGGAATAAGAAAAATAAACGAAACCCATGGTACGGTGACGTTGTGACAATACTTTCAAAACCGATTTTTCAAATATCCTCTATTTTCCTTTTTTTGTTTATCTTGTACAGCAAGAAAGTCGTATAACCGCAAAATACGTCTGTTAAGGTTTTTCTTTTTTTTCAGATTTAGGTAGTGTCGCTAGCAGTGGCCGAAGAAGTGCCGCTTTTAGCAATATATACGGCGACAAGTATGGCCGACAGAGTTCAGTTATAACTAGTGAAAAAGGTTCTATCGCATCTGGAAGCGGTGTAAGTGGTGGTCTGCATGTCGGAGATGGCAGCGATGGCACTCATTTGACGCCTCAACAGCTTGGAGTGATGGGTGAGTTTGCAATATATTCGAATGCATTTGTACATTGGTGATAAATCGAGAAGTAAACGTAATAATTTACAGTTACGCACGCAGGTGGTTAAATTAGCAAAATAATAGAGGTTTAATACGTGCATAAACTTCAGCTGCTCGATTCAATTTACGGTAGTGTTAATATGATTAATTTCATTTCCTAATGGATTTAGCTGGCTAACAAAGAGAGTACTGGTCAAACATTCCATGTTCTGTTGTTTCATGTCCCCACATGAAGAGATTCTGAATTACCTTCACGGAATATAGTTTGCATACAAACAATTTAATTTACCTAGATTTTTTCTAACAGTGAGATTAATTAAAATAAAAAATATATATACTTGTATTTTAATTTTTGGATTATCAACTTTAATTTGTATTGTAAAATGTAAGATATATAAACATAATTCAATCATAGTTAATAAACGGTTATGAATATATAGGGTGTTTCATCGAGACCCAACACATTAGAATAAAGTGTGTCTATTGAAGAAGTTGAAAGGAGGAGAAACTTTTTTATTTTTACACTCATGGAAAAAGTAAATATAAGAATCTGCTTGTCTTCAAATGTTCAAAAATTTAGTTTTATGTGAGCCAATAGGTAGAGTTTTCCTATAATTGATACGTACAGGGTGTCTCCTGATCTTAACTTTAACAGTTTTAAGTCGAATTTTAGAGTTTTACGAAACTATAAATTGTTTGATTAAGAAATTATTTGCAATACTTTTTTTGATAAATTAAGTTGGGCCTGTCAGAAACAAAAGCAGTATTTTGGTAGATAAATTGCCTATTTGCAAATAAATGTAGGTAAAGCTTAATATTAAATGAGAACCCCCATTCCTAAATGAAATATACAGGATGTAACTTTGAGTTGCGATCACAGGGGCTTCCTTTGGCCTTTAGCAACACGTATCAATAGTTTATTTTCTCAAATTCCGTCATAAAAATTTGTTTAACCTTTTTTAGTAATTTTTGTACCCCGCCGCTGGAAAAACTACTGTAACCTCTAATAACGGCACGGTTTAGTCGCAACGCATGCACAATTCCACACAATTCGCCGCGAGTTACTTTTGTTGAGTGGGCGTTCGCCACACAAACAGTGCTTAACAAGTAACTTAGCGAAAAACTCAAACAGTAATAAATAATGATAAATGAAATACACAAAAATAAATAGTCCGTTGATGGCTTCCAGCAATGAAAAACATTCAAATTCACAGTTAGATGTAATGTCTCCAAATGCGGAACAACTGACGCCCTTCACTTCGTCACCATTTACCGGCACCATCTCCCTTCACACGCATTGTAGGTTGCTTACAATTAATGTACTTGTAATACATACAGTGGCGACGTACACAAGAACTGCATTTTAAAAAACTCATTATAACTCGACTATTTATTTGATTTAAAAAAAAATTGAATCGTATTCAAGGGAACACGTACTGTTACCCCTAAAAAACTGACCCTTGATTGAAAGTTACCCACCCTGTACATACAAAATGTTGGAAAAGGAGAAATGTTGATGTTCTTAAATTTCTCTCTACATTTTTATACATTTGGACAGAACCAGGATTTTTTTACACTGAATTAATAAAAAGGTGTTTCTCTATTCAACCCCATCTGTGAACACATCGTATATGTGGGAAAATATTTCGAAAAGTTTTGGTGTTTCAGGTTGAGCGGAGAATCGACGCCAACTTTGTTATTTTAAAAAATATTGTACATTTTTATTTCTTTTGTGAATGCTGCTCACTTTTTGTTATTGATACAAAATATATTATTTTTTGACTATTATAGAGGTCATTTGCAGGTTACTTTTGAAAATAAATGGTTTCCTTCGGTTTTCTAGTCCCGATTTGAAAGATAGGCGAAATCCGGTCGGAACTGAAAACACGACAGTTTCCTATTTTCGTATATCGTTTCAAGTGCAAATAAACTAAGATATTTTTCAGTACTGACAGTTATTGTTTACTAAGTTATAACTATCCATAACAACAAAATACATTTTTCGGTGATAAGCTGGATAAATTATAATAATAATAATAATAATTTTAACCAAGTCAACTTAATATGAAAACTTTCAAAATACTTTCACGTTCAAATCGCTCTAAATAGTGTTTTTTTTTCATGTGGACAACTTTGACAAATCCTGTAATCAAAAAACTTATTTTATCCGCAACGCCATCTATATAATTTTAAGGCACCTACTAGGTATTTGTACAGACCCAAATGTTTCCAAACCACGTGACCACCAAGCTTAGGCAACCCAACAATGCACGATTGGTAATGGTAACGAAAATTACCTAAATTTTGGCGTCATCAATATTAGTGATTCGCTTCCAAGAACAATGTCAAACCGTTATGACTATGCTCGAGATAACGTGATCGCTGATTGGTTGAATAGAATCTCGTGAAAAATTACACTTGTCACAGCCGATGAAACAGAATATTGTGTTTTAATAAAATATGTATTGATCTTATTGTTTTAATTTTACTAAAATTTATTTGCCAACGCGATAAACTTCCTATTTCAAACAAAATTACTGGTCACGTGGCTTGTAATCATCTACAAAGGCTCTGTATATGACCGCTCGTAATAACATGCATTTACTTTTGTTATTAGACTGAACAAATAATAAAATAATCATTAGATCAATCACCCTTTCTCAAAAAAAAAGTTTGGTGGTCTTCTATTTTTTATAAATCAAGTAAAAGATACATGTAACTAAAAAAAATAATTATACATATATAATTCGACAGTTCATTCACAATCTCAGTAAAAAAGAGCTGTTTTACATTTGAATAGAATGTTTACAACTGAAAGAGGTAAAATATTTTAATGTTAACTACCAAATAAGAATATAACTTCCTGGAAAAATGAAAGCAATAAGTATATATTATAATGAAATTATTTTCTATAGGGACTTGAGCTTTGAATGAACATTTTGTCATGATGATTATTAAAAAAGGCGATCATATTCAAAGTATCATTTACAATTCAATACCCACATTCAACGTAACAGATCCAATTTTTTATTTATTAATTACAAACTATTCGAGAAATAAATACAGCTAATATTACATAAAATACATTTTTATTAAAAATTTACAATCCTAAAATTCGAAAATTTGAAAAAATTATTATTAGATATTTTAGTGCACTTTATGAGTGGTAGAATGATATCAAAACTCGAAAGAAGTGACGCTAAGTTGGCAAATTGCAAATAAGTGGCAAAATTACAATATGGGCAAATATTTCGAAATTTGTGTGTAGCTGAGACTGTGCGCAAATTACGTGGAATTTTCTGGGCCCGAATGAAACAATTGTGAAATGGTTAGTTGCCAAATTTGAACAAACAGGTTCGGTTGCAGACAATAGAAAAACAGGCCGGTCTCGTACTGTCCGTTCAGCTGAAAATATTGCTATAGCGGAAATTCCCGTAACAGGAATTGAAACCAGACGATCGCCGGATATTCGTTGATTGGATGTAGGAGAATCACCAAGTGAACGGTGATTTTGCTAAGAAAATCATCGAATTTGGTTTAGAGACAATTCTTGGGTCATTCAAGAACGACCACTGTATACCCAGCGAGTGCAGTATGGTGTGGATTTTACCCCAGTGGGGTCATTAGTCCATTCTTTTTTGAAAATCAGGCTAAAAACGCAGTCATTGTCAATGAAACGATATCGAGAGGTGCTATTAAACTTTTTGTTCCCTCATTTGGATGACATGGATTTGGATGATATGTGGTTCCAGCAAGACCTGCCATACAGCACGTGATATTATCCACTTGTTACGGTAGAAATTTAATGGATGACTCATCACGTAACAGTGAAGTGACTTGGCCACCAAGATCATGCGACTTTTCCCTGTGGAGGTTTGTAAAATCCAAAATTTATTCTGCGCAAATGAATACCATTCATGAATTAAAGGCAGAAATTCGGAGAGTTATCAACGAAATTCAGCCGCAGTCAAATGAGTCGCTGAAACACATGTAAAAACTTTGCCAACTTTTTAATTAATAAAACCTTTTTCGTCATATGAAATCCTGCGTTTTTTTTGGGACATGTACACCTACAGCGAGTTATCTACTATTGTTTAATTTTACACGCGATCTCAATATGATAGCATAGAATACCCAACAATCAGAACTCCAGGAGTTGCAGGAAAATCAATATTTAACCTCAATCTTGAAATAGAACCTGTAAATTGATTAGTGTAGATATAAAATAAATGACTCAGTAGGTAACAACTTTATTAAATCAGTATGTAGGATTTTTTTATTTATACTCTATAATAAATTTGCGTGATTCGTTTTAATGAAGTTATATGTTTCAAGATTCATGTTTCATACAACATATTTAATAAATATACAATGGGCGGTTAAATTATATAACGAATTCAATGAAACAGTGATATATTTTTTTAAACAACGAGACACGGTAGCAACAAACATTTTGACGTCACAACCGATTCTTACAAGTCATTTAATTGTTATTGATGATGTCATCAGTGTTTTTTAAATCGCGAAAAATGGTAGGGAGACATTTTTTATGGCTGATTTGATAAATCGTTTAGTTGACAAATGGACATCATTTTGATACATCATATAATAAAATTTATTTAAATAGCGATGTATAAGAAAAATTTTTGTTGCCTATTAATAAAGAATATTCAACATACAAAACGTTATTCATTGAAATCAAAATGGGAAGGATCACCATTTAAAACAAATCGATGACGTCATCACTTATTAAAAAAATGACTAATAAGAATTGAATGTGACTATGCTACTTTTTTATTCAATTTCTTCCATAATTTACGCGCTCACTGCAGTACACTCAAAAAATATTTTCGTGTTTACAAATTTTTATCAGACCGATTTTTTTAATTTTCATGAGTAATAAATATTTGACTGTTCAAATCAAAGACAAAAGTAACCACATGACATGTAAACATTAAAAATTTGTAAGAGGGATG